CGCGCGGTCCCGGCGCCCCCCCCCCGCCCTCCCCTCGGCCCACGCGGCCCTCGAGCGGGTCCTTGCGGAAGTGGATGCCGTTCACGTCCACATGGGCATCGCCGCCCGCGTTGACGGCCCAGACGACGCTGTCGGCCAGGCCGCCCGCCGCGCCCCGCAGCAGTGCCGGCAGCAGCACCAGCAGTAAGGGCGGCAGCAGCGGCGCCCCGGCGCCCACCATCTCGGGCTCCCGGCGCCGCGCCCGCCCCTTCCTGCCGCCGCCAGGGGGCAGCCTAACCCGCTGCCGGGGCGGAGCGCGCCCAGACCAATCCCCGCGCAGCAAGGCGAATATTAACGAGCTGCCCGCCTGCCATTAGGCGGCCACGGGTCTTTATCTGCATATTCATAAGGCGCCGGGCCAATGGGAGGTGTGAGCGGGCGAGCAGGCTCGGTTGAGAGGCGAGGGGACGGCAGCGCGCTGCGGCGGGAGGCGCGCCCGGCGGGAGCGGGGAGCCGGTCCCTACTAGCCAGGAGTGCCCGGGGCCGGTATCGCCCGCTCGGGGAGGGGAGCAAGGGCAGAGCCGGCTGCTCCAGGAGGGAGCGGCGGGGATGGAACGAGGCTGCCCGGCAGCGCCTCAGGAGCGCAGCCGCAGCCCGGCGAGCTCCCCTCAGCGCCGGACGCCTGAGGGAAGAGCCCCGCCCCCTCCGCTCCGCCAATCAGGGAGCTCCAGCGCGGCCAGAGCGCAAAGCACTGTGGGCCGGCGGCGGGAAGCGGGGAGGGCGGTGGGTTGCCGGGGCAACGGGCGGCGCTGCGGCGGGAGAGGGCCCAGGCCCCGGCCCGGCGGCGGGAGGGCGGCGGTGCGGGCCGGGCACGGCCCGGGGAAGCGGCTGGGAGCGCCCTCGAGGGAGCGGGAGCTCCGCTGCCGTCGGGAGCGGATCCTCGTTACATCCCGGTAGTTTCGTGTCCGCTACATTCCGGACAGCGGCTCCCGGTACCGCGCCTCAGCGAAACGCGCAGGTTCCCCGGTTCGCCCCTGCCGCGGAGTATGGGAAAAGGCAGCTACCGGCCCTCCTGGTGAGGAGTGAAACAGCCGGGTGGCGGGCAGCCACTTCGGAGCACAACAATCTGCTTGAAAAGAGCCAACACACGGGGCGAGGGCAGCTCACCCTCCCGCTGCCAGGGATTCTTCTCGCTGTGTTTCTCCAGGGCAACCTAAAACCGTGGTTTTGGGTTTTTTTGGAGGACCTTGGCGAGGTCTGGGAGGGCTGGAGTGAGACATCACAGATGGAGATCGGATGAAACTCACTCACTATGCCGGGGGGTGGGGGTGGGGAGAGCAAATAACTTAATGTTTGCTTCCATGTTTGCCCTTCTGCCTGATCTTGGTGTTCCTCAGAGCTGCGGGTGGCAGCCAAGCCTCGCGTCTACGCTTCGGTCACTAACTGCATTACTGGCGGCTGCTCCTAAGTCCCAATGACGTGTTAGTAATTTGGGGCTTCCACAACGCGTTTGCCTTTAGAAATAAAGACTCCGAGCTGCAGACCGTGAAGTAAATGGGCATGTTGCTTTTGTAATGCACCTCAGAGGCCCCTTAAACAGGACACAGCCTTGGAGAAGGGAAGTCAGTTTGGGGAGGGGAGAGAAACTGCTCCCCCCCTACTCCCTACCCTGCCCAGGTCAGTGCAGGTCCCAGAGTGTCCCCCTGCATGTCCCACATGGGCTTGTGGTGTAACTGGGCTGGGGCAGACATGGCACTGCTGCCAGGAAGGGGTTCCTGAAACTGCAAGGTGGCTGAGGAAATGTCGTCCAGGAAAGTAGTGTCAAGCACACGTGCTTAGCACCTCTCCAGGTTAACCACCTCACGCTGGTTCCTGGCAGATCGTCTCGGCGTTACAGACCCCAGCCCTGGCAGCAGCTGATCAAATCCAGGCTAATCTCCCGTATCCCCTGCAGCGTGTGTGACCTGTTGGGTGTCCCCCAAGTTCAGTTAGCAAAGGAGTGCAAGCAGCCGTGGCCAGAACAATGGTGTCCAGTTGGCGAGGCCGAGGGAGGCCTCATTAGAGCTTGTTTGTACTGATTACAGACGATCCTCCCTAATCGCTCAAGATTTCTCAGCTTAAACTGCAATGCGCTTGGGTCAGGAGCGCAGCTTCAAAGCACGTAAGCACTTTGTGTGTCACCAGGTTACTGCCACGAGCTGTGAAAGTGAAGTCAGAAGAGGGACAGTGTGAATCACGAACAGGCTGAGGAGACAGCGGGGCTGAGGTTACGAACAGCAATTTCCATGGGTGTGAATCCTCACATTTCCGCTCCTGAGACCCCACCAGGGCAGCAAAGGTCCCGCCAAGGGCCACACACAGCCCCTTGGGAGGCCAGGGTGGGCTGAGGCAGCTGGCCCTGTCGGTCCCCGGGGCCAGCAGGGCTTTTGAAGGCTTCACACACACAGAATGGCAGCGTTGGCTTGGCAGAGCCTGGCCGAAACCCTGCTGTGCCTCTTGGTGGGCTGGGGAGCATGAGGCTCACGGTGGGACCTTCACTGCCTCGGTGGGCAGAGGGGCTATGCAGCCAGTGCCTGGGCCTTCATTACAAACCTGGCATCAAACTGCATGGCCCAGACCAAATGTGCCCATGAGCAGGGATTCAAACATGAAGGGATTTACTAGCTAACGTTTAGGTATAACTCGGACAGGTCCCTCAGCTGAAGGGGTCTCTCTGGCCTCAGACTGTAGAGCTGGGAGCTAACCCAGCTCATCTCCTGCCTCGGGAGTGTTACCAGGGGCTTTTGTGGCTGTGCCAAGCCCTGGGGTCCCTGTCGAGGGCTCCTGGAGCTCCTGAACATCTCACAGTGAAATTTCAGCAACTCTTCCTTGAAAAGAAAAGAGTTTCCTTGGAAAGGAAGAGTTCCCTTCCTTGATCAAAGGGGAAAACCCCTCCCTTTCCCTTCCACCTGAGGGAGGCAAGAGCACCGAGCAGTGCAGTACCTCCTCTGCCTCCCCAGTCAGAGCATCTGCTGATAACTAGCCTGGGTGATTATTTCCCAAGAATCAGCAGCCCATCATGAAGCAAGAGGAATCAACTGAGCTGCAAGGGGTGAGGAGGGATAGTGGCTGTGCTCGTCCGGGTGCAGGAGGAGCACTTGCCCTGCTCATGTTGGCAGAGGACGGTGGACGTGCCACGATGGCCTGTGCCCACGATGCCCTACACTGCTGCACTGGAATCATTACTTGTGGTCACAACAACTTGATGCCAGCTTGTGTCCCAGATGTCAAAGGCTCTGTATCCTGTTACTAATCCACTGAGCCATCAGTCCCTTGATGCAGGCTGGATTTACACCAGTAACCTACAAGTGAAAGGCTCAGGGTTGTCTTCTCAATCCCTTGATCTCTCCCTGTCCCCTGGCAGCTGTGCCAAAATGACTCTCGCTCTTGAATCAGTCCTGCCTGATCATTCACAAGCGGTGGGGGGCACCTGTTTTGGGTATTAATCACTTACTGCAGGAAAAAGGGATCATCAGGACTCGGGGTGTCCAAAAGGAGCAATGGAGATGTGTAGGCCTTGTAAATAATGAGACATCTAAGAAACCAACATGAGCCAGCCCCACTGCCTGGACTAGCTCCTGAACCACAAGGGGCTATGAGGCTGAGGTGCCCAGAGGGGACCAGCTCTGCCCCGCCATGTGGAGCTGTTTGGAAGCCTCCCTGGTACCGGATTGTAGCTGAGAGCAAAAAGATTATCTCTGGAATTAGATTATTTAGATTGGAGCTTTAATCTCTGACCCCGTCTGCACAAGAAAATAGTAAAACTCTCTGGGATTATTTGGGGGTTTTATGCAAGTAAAGCCAGGCTTGCAGCAAGAGCTTCTGCTGGAAGGAAAAAAAATGAATGCTTTGGAGACCTGCCCTGTCTGACCTGCTCACTGCATCATGGTAAAACCTGGCAGAAAAGAGCTACAGATACATTGGCAGAGACCCAGCTTTTGTCAGAAGTAGCTATGGCTCCAGGACTGCCTCTGCAATGGCACAAAGGTGTCCTGTGGCCACCCTTCCCCTAGCACCAATGTCCCTATGTTTCTTGGGAAGACAGACACAGCTCTGCCATGATACAAACACAGGGACCTGCCTAAGTGAAAACGGCAGGAGTTTGCAGAGAGCATCCCCAGCCACCGTGACGCTGCGCCGTGGATCAGTGCAGCCTCTAGAAATGGGTTTACAATTTTAAATGAATTAAGACCGTGTCCTGCCATCTGCCACTGCGGGCAAAGGATGTGACTGCTCGGTGCAGGACCCAGGGACAAGCAGCCAGAAGCAGCCACCGTGCCTGTTGCCACTGGCTGGCTGTCAGGCTTATGCATACAGGCTACTCAAGTGCCCTGAGTCGTCACCAGTCCCCGTGGGCAGGCACAGCCACTGCTGCATACGGGCAAGCAGCACAGCTGTCCCCATGCTCTGCAGACACACACACACTTCTTCTTCAACAGGCTCCACTGTAAGCGAAGCACATTTACATACCAACACTCCCTATGGCAGACACAAGCCTGCACAGGTCTCTCCCTCCTTGGTATTATCCTAAGTACATATATAACTTACCAGGACTCTGGACTCTGTTCAGTTTATCACCCTCATCTCCTAAGCACTGTGCAGCTCAGCTGCTGCACCAGGAAATATGGAGATCTGTAAATACCTGTTTTCCAATTTCTTGGCTCACACCCACATTTCTAGGACTGGACCAGCTCCATAGACAGTTTGCATACACCCACTTGCAAACAAACTCTTCTACTGGTGCCCTAACCCATGTACCTATCTGCACTCCCTGCTTTTATGTGCGCACACGTACAAACCTTTCCCAGGGCACATGCCTGTCCAAACCCGAGTACACACACACACACACACAAATATAAGGAGAAACATAGTTTTTCCATTGCTGAGATATCAGCCATCACTCCAGCTATGCTGGTTGGCACAGCAACAGGAAAGCCGGAGAGAAAATCCTCCTTTGGGACACGGATTTGGGGACCCTGAGAATTTGAAAGGGAACCTGGGAAGTGAAAGATTTGAGACAGAGGAACCGGGAGGATATTAGTCCCTAACCTCCCAGTTGGAGTAAGGATGCAACTGGGAGGAAAACAGCTCCCAGTCACACTGAGAAACACACAGCAATAACGATGCCCTTTGAAGCCAAGCAGAAATTAGTACTGGCAACTTGTGATTGAGCCTCTGCATAGAGCAAGAGGACAACTGTAGGTCTGGCAGAG